GTCGGCCTTTCCCTTGCCCTCCCCTCCTCTCCCCATCCCCAGGAAACATCCAGGGCTCCCAGACTGACTGATAGTTAAGGCTTAAAATTAAAAAAAGAAAAAAAAAAAAAAAAAGAAAAAAAAGGAGATGCAACATCCCTTTTTCAGTTGTATTTAGAATATTAAAATAAAACAGGGAAGAATATCCAGCCAGCCAGAACAAGATCCTCTCCTCACAAAAAAGTTATCCCCAGCCAGTCAAAAGTCCTGTGGAAGGTTGGAGGAACAGCTGTGTCAGGTGCTTCGGTGGGCAACTTGTGACAGAGAAAGTTTAAAACACATCCCACTCCCCAGGGAAAGGACCCACTGTGAAGTGGGTCCCCCAACTGCCAACAAATGTCTCATGAAGTGTTCTGGTTTAACTTGCCCCACTGCAGGCCACAAGGACTGTCCAAAAGCCACTGATCCCCTGATCCCTGTGCTCAACACTGGCCTTCAAAATGCTTAGGAAAATTAGGGAAGGGAGGGAAAAAGAAGATGGCAATAGGAGACAACTGAACAAAAATGCATTGCTATCTCTAAACTTCTCTTTCAGGATCTTTGAGTTGCTAGTTAGAAAAAGGAAATTAGAATAAATAGCAATTTTGTTGGGGCAGAAAGATAAACCAGGGCTGAAATGAAGCAGCTGTCCTAACCTGGAGGACCAGCTACAGGAGCCTTACAGCAGAGCTGGAATTGCCTCACAAGGGTCCCAAATATTTTACTTTTACAAGGAAAGCAGCAAATTTAGTGAGTCTAATGGGAAATCATCAAAGGTGAAATTTCTTACCCTACTCTGAAAAAATGCGAAATATGAGGAGTGGAAAGGGGCTGAGAAACAGCTACTCCTTTTGCCTGCTTGTCTCCTGCACTGAAGTCAGGACCATGAAGTACCATGGGACTTAAAATACTGCAACAAGCCACTTTCAGCTATTGAAAGCAACACCCAAATCTTCTTTTTCAAGACTATGGCCAGTTCTGGAGTGCAAGACAAGAGTAAGCTTATAGAAAGAAAGGATTTTACAGTAAATGGAGAGACTTTACTGATGTTGAGCAAATGATTATTTAAACAAAAACTAAGGGAAAAAATGCCAGAAGTCTATTTAATTATTCCAGAATTACAGCTCATTTAGCTTTTAAATTCCTGCTTAAACAAATGTTTATTCAAACGTGCCATCTCAATGATGAGCATTTCTGCTGTCTGGGGACAGCTCAGTTTGCTACCTGGGGCCTCTCAAACCCACTTAAAATGTAGGGACGTTCTGTCTCTCTATTTTTCACTTGCTTTTCCCTTACTTCCAGCACTGCTGACTGGAAAGGTTTCTGAATTTGGCAAATATCCAGGAATCAGCAAACATCCAGCAGTGTTTCTTCTTGCTAATTTTTAAGGCTTGTAGGAGGTGCTCACTCCACCAGTACCGGAACAGGAGGCTTTGCAAAGGACAGCCTTCCCCAGGGGCCTTGGGGAACCTGGTGCTTCAGTGTCCTCAGCCAGGCCCATCTCAGGATGGCACAGAGGCTGTTGGGTTTGGCACAGAGCTTCCTCTGCCCATCCTGGGCCTCCAGTCCCCACTTCTGAGATCCCTTATTGTTACCACAGCAAACAGCGAGTGAGGGACGAGGGGGTTTCACTCAGGAGCTCCATCCTGGTCCTCAGGCAGGACAAGAGACTTGTCTCAGTCACAGGCTGCAGTGGGAAGCACACAGCTGTTCCTCCAATGACTTTTACCTTCTCTGGATTTTGCCAGCAGTCACCCCACATTTCATTTTGTTTCACTAAGTGCACTGGATGTTTCTCTGGTCAAGACCCAAACTCCTGCTTTTCAGAACTGAAGTGACACGGTAAAATACTGCTAACCCAGACTTTGAACCTGCACTGCTTGAAAACAATGCTTTCCACACACACGAGAGAGAGGAAAACAAAAACAAAAACCAAAACAGGAATCTTAAAAGAGTGACACTGTAAATTGAAACATTTAAATACAGCAAAAACATAAATTCCTCTTCTATGCAAAGCTACAAAAGTCCAGTCTTTGTATTGTCTTCACAGGTTATGGTTTATGGCTATGCTGAGAGTCTCTGAGATTCTTTTTTTTTTCTTTTTTTTCTTTTTTTTTTAATATATTTTTTTTCTTTTTTTGAAATCCTGTAGAGAAGACCCTGCGGACACATCTTTGTGTTTGCAACTTTCTGAATTACATTGCAAAACTGTGCATACAGAATCTGAGAAATAAATACATTCATTACTGCACATACATATTGATACAAAAACAACACTGTCAAATAGTGTTTGCACCATCTTTGTTAGATATTAAGACCAGGCAAAATTAATATTTCATTTTCCATCAGCCCCCCCCTCAAATGTTTGAGGTGGCTTTGGTGTAGAAGGTAAAAGCTACAAAGGGTCAAGAGTAATCATGGGGAGCTTGCTTAAACCTTTTTCTATTTTTTGGCTTCAGCGGTATTTTAGCAAACCACCTTCATTGGTCGCCTTCAAACTGTCCTACCACGCAGACCAGGCTTAGACTTCCACCCAGGCGGCCACGAGAGTTTTGGTTGGGCTCTTTGCCCATGCCTGTAGGGTCTGGAGTGAATGGGTCCAGCGGGTTGGTTGAGGTGGCAGCGGGGGTGGGCCCAGCACAGCCCCGGCGGGGGGAGCAGCTCAGTGCCCGCGCTCTGCCCTCGCAGCTGCCCCGAGAGCTCCCCCAGAGCTCCCCAAGCTGGGCAGGGGCAGGGGCAGGGGCAGGGCTGTGCGAGCAGCAGCCCCAAAGCCTCACAGAAGCTGCGTGTCAAGAGCTCTTTGGTGTCTTCTGTGACCTTTGTGGCTCCTGCTGTCTCCCCCGAGTGCACAGAGCTGGGCCTTTGGGGTCTTTTGCCAAGAATTTGGTTTTGGAAATTTTCAGTAAAGGACTGGAAAACAGCCCAGCTCCCCATGGCTAAAGTGAAGGAGATGTGCTGGGTACAGCAGCTCCCACCGTCCTCTGACAACATCCTTTTCTGTCTCTAGAGCTTCTTGCATCTCTCTACCCTCTCCATGCCCTCAGACTCCTCTGAGGAAGAGGGAGGCTGGAATGCCTCTACAACAGTGCCTGGGTCTCACTCCCAGCAACATCTCTCATGGGTTGAATAAAAAAAGTTGCCCGTGCCATATTTGCAGTTGCCCACCCTGTTCCCCACCCTCCCCGAGCAGTGCAGGAATGCAGGCTGGGACACAGATCTCCCCTCCCAAGCTGGGGGGACACTGTGTAGCCTTCAGAGACAAACCAATGGAAAAAGCAAAGATTAATTTTGACTGGCCCCTAGATCTGTTGAGGTCTGAAACTGTAAAAGTTTATGTAAACAATGAGATAAATATATTAGTACTTTTCTGAGCCAAGTGAGGTTCCATACTCATTCAAATGTGCTTTGGTTTAAAAAATAGTTTTGTGAATTTGGGTATGAGCTTCTTTATTCTTTTATACAACTTTTGCTATTTTATCTTTTTTTTTTTCCTGTTATTCCGAAAACATTCTGGAACTAAGTGACTAAAGCATATACTTAAGCTGCCTGGCCTCTTTTTTTTTTTTTTTTTTTTTTTTTTTTTTTTTTTTTTTTTTTTTTTTTTTTTTTTTTTTTTTGTTTTTAAATTGTTTTATTCCTCTTGAGGCTCTTTGTGTATTTAAAAAAAAAAACTAAAAAAAAATAAAAAAAAATAAAAAAAAATGCAACTCCCTCCCCCCCACCCTAAAACTCTTAAAATCTTAAATATGAAACTAGTGTTTTGCTTTCTCATTAAAATACAGAAAAATGTTTGATACAATACTATGTCGTACAAATGCAGTTGAGTGTTTAGGCCCCGAGCAGGCCTGAAACAGTCCCTGAAGTTTTGAGTATTATTAGTTATTCATTATTACTGTCACAATTTGGAAAATGTTGTTTATACTCAAATCTATGGAACACAACTTTACATAGCTATTTGAAAAAAAGCACAGAATTTCCTTTTGTACAATACTCTTGCTGTACACAGACTTTATGTCGTATGGTTTAAGTGCTGGGGAGGGGATAAAGTTAAAAGAAAAAATCTCAAAAAAAAGTTTTAAAAAAATAGCATCGGGTCCTGAAACTTCAACGTGATTCTCAAGGCCTAAGAAACAAATGAAGAAGGGGCCTGAGCGGGGGGGGAGAAGCTACATCACCCACACACATCTTGTGAAAATGGAATTAAGAGAGAGGGAGAGCCGGGGATTTGTCTGCTGAGGAGCCTTGGGCTGTTCGGGGCTCGGGCCCATCCTGATGTCCCCAGGGTGGCTCCTGCCAGGCACCCGCCCGCCGTCCCCAGCGCTGGGAATGGCAATCCCGCTTCCAAAGCCCCCAGCGGGGTTGGGGCACAGGGCTCGTCCTGGCCATGCCCTTCTCTCTAAGGAGCCAAACCCTGTTGGGGAGCTCTGGACGGGCGGGCCCTCGGGCAGCTCCCGGGGCAGCTCAGCCTTGGCTGGCCCAGGGCGGGAAAGGCAGAGGGAAAGTGCCGAGGAACTCGTCCTGCACAGCCGGCCCTGGGCTCTGCTGAGAAAAAGGGAGATGGCAAGGTCTTCCCTGTCCTCCCCAAAGACTTCTGGGGACATTCTCGGGGGGGTTGGCAAGGAATCAAGGAGAAAACAATTCAATATAGATTCAAAATGTGGAAGTGCTAAGGACGCTAAAACCTCACCTAACCCCCCCAGAAAACAGTGCATCTCAGCAGTTGGAAAAAGCCAAAAGTCCACGCTCCCCTCTGACACTGCAGGGCTCGAAGGTGCCCCGGAGCAGGGGGATGATGGCACTGGGAGAAGCTGGAGGGGTGGAGAGGGGCGAGTGTGTTCCCTGTAACGTGACACCAGGCCAAGGCTCGGTGCCTTCTGGTTGTCTATTGCTTGGAGCCTGGATTCCAGTTTCCTCAGTTCATTCAACTGACCCAAAAACTTCTCATGGACTAGTCTACCTTAACCAAA